GGCGGGGAGGGTGCGAGGGGCCCGCGCGCCGGCGGTTGGCGCCGCGTGGGAGGAGGAGAGGATCTAAAATAGGTGAACCTCGCACTCGCAGCCCTTGGGGCGGGTACGGAGCAGCGTGGGCGCTCACGCGCGCCGGGGACTTGGGTCTCTAGCTCTCAAACCGCCTTAAAGCTGGCGGCTGCGGTCGCCTCACAATGAGCGTGAGAAGCGCTGGGGGAGGAGCCGAAGGAGCGGAGAGGAAGCGCCGGCGGCCCCGCCCACGCCGCCGGCGTAACGTCAGGATGCCTCCGCCGCAGCGTGAGGCGTCGCGGCGCAGCGTGAGGTTCTTCCGCCACTCGGGGACTTACGGGCGCAGCCTCGGATTCAAAAAAAATCCCCAGGCTGATGAAGCCTAGTGACTTCCCGTTTAAACAAGTGGTAGCTAAGCGTTCCTAAGGCGCTGTTATCCACCTTATCCGTTTTAAATAAACGGTGGATGAGTATTAAAAAGTGATTGTTTTGAAGTCAGGAGATGGGGTAATCCCAGCTCCTTGGGAGGCTGAAGCAGGAAGATGCCATGCTCGAGTATGTACCTGGACAGCTCATTGAATAAGAGTATATGCATCCATACTATTCAAAATATATACGTGGAATTAAATATATATATAATTAAATATATATAAAATATATATCAATAAGATATAATATAAATAAATAAATATATGCATCATGGAGCCGGGCGTGGTGGCGCACGCCTGTAATCCTAGCACCCGGGAGGTTGAGGCAGGAGGATCGTTGCAAGTTCGAGATTATCCTGGGCTACAAAGTGACCTCAAGGACAGCCTGAGCGCAGTGAGATTCTGTCTCAAAAAGACAAAAAAATTAAAGAAGCAAAAAAGAAAAACGTTGTGGAATGGCTCCAGGCTAGAGGAGGCTAAAATGACCCAAAACTAAAAAATACTTCATGGAAGTCAAGAGTCTATACCAGGAAAAAAATCCCTAGAAAAGAGAGTGGGGGGAAATTGATGAATTAAGAGTATAAAGTACAGGGGGTTGGGGATATAGCTCAGTGGCATAAGCGCCTGTTTGGCAAGCATAAGGTCGTGAGTTCAATCCCCA